CATTATCTGGAATAAGTAATCCTTAAATTTCTAATAACTTTGGCATATATTATTCTTATAACATAAAACAGAACTCCAAACACAACAAAATGAATTCCATGAATAAATTAATAAAAGTACAGAACTAGTTCCCCCATATTCAAACTGAGCAACTCCCAGAATACTGTATATCCTCTTAGACAGGGTTTACCAGGTGTCCACGTGACCACCAGATGACCTCTCATCTCTCCTCTTCAATAGGAAGCATATATCTGTGGGGTTTAAGCTAATGCATCTAAATATTACAGACTTGTTTTTACTCTACTGAAACCAGATTGTTAACCATTACTGAAATACTAATACTGAAGACCCCTGAAATTATGAACTCTATAAAAGTTCAGGGATGTGAGAATTATTTTCTAATTTAGAAGAAATGTACTACTGTACATACCAAAATAAAAAAAAAGCTGTAAAGGTGAAACCTTTTCAGATGCTTAACCTTTGTATATAATTTAAATATTTGTTTACAACTAACAAGATAAATGTCACTGATATTGGTAATAACATTATAGATACTGTATTATACATACCAATAAATAAAATAAAGATATAAATAAATAAAATCCATAATAATTTAATTTTTTCCCCATTTACTGTGCATGAGATGCATGCATTGAGACTTACTGTTGGTGGAAGCATGCATAATTCCTTCAGCTGAGACTAAATTACATAAAATAAGATTATTTTTTTTTTAGCAGTCTTGGCTGCACTTAATCTGTCCATTTAACATAGCTTTATGTAGATCATATTCATTGGCACTAGCTTTATATCTAAAAATTCTCCATCAATCTGTCATCTGTGCAACTCTTGAAGTGCATGAATGTATATTTTGATTAAAATGGCAAAAAATTTAGTTTTGTAAAGGAGAAAAAGCAAGTCTATACTATTGCTTCTTAGTCTTTTTAAAATATTATTTTACATGAACAATTGATAAATTACCAAATAGGGTAATTTACTCTCTAATTAATTTGCAAGACACTCCTTGCCTTGAATGAAGGAGATTCCTCACAGAAAACCTTGTTAAACAAAGAATAGAAATTACCTGTCTAGTTTTGTTCAGAATTCACAACTTGTTCCTCAACTAATATGACATTAATAATCAAACGTTCAAAAGCCAAAAGAAAAATAAGAAACATGATCAATTGTATCATGAATAATGCATCTGGTTTGAAATGGTGATAAATATACTGTATATTGTCTTTTCTGGACTACAACTCCTGAGCTATAATGACAAAATTACAATTTAACTTTCAAAATCTACATCTTTGCCTAGATAACTTTTTTAAACAAGGCAAGAAAAGACTAAGCCATGCTTATTGTTCCACCACCCTATGGATATTGCTGAGATGGAAGTGCAATAACTCAATAACAGTATGGGGAAATATAAGATTCAGAAATCTACCAATTCCTTTCATTGTAGCATATATAATACTTGTTGAATTATGCAGGAGAACCCATTTGTAGACTCTAATCACTTTTGTCAGTGTACAAGACTTGTGTTCTATGCCTTGCCATTGTACAAGACTGTGTTCTGTGCCTTTATCAGTATACAGGGCTTGTGCTCCTGGTCATGAGAAGCTACATTTGCAGTATGAGAAAATATGTTGTAACTAAAATTCACACATCCCATGTTACATAAATTCAGGGAACTGAAGTATTTGTGAAGCTTCAACATGACAAGTATCATCATCTAGAAGTAATAAGGTCAACTTTAACACCAAATAATAAACTATTAACACATGCCCAAAATTTTGGTTATGTTTTCTGTGACATTAATTAACGATACACAATTCTATCGTATTTGACAATTTCCCCAAACTGACAAAATAAAAGTTTGTTATTTTGCTATCTACTTCAAATGTCAGACATAAAATATATGCAGAGCTAACCTGAAAGGCTCAGAATGACTGCTAAAACACAATCACACTGTAATCTAAGTTATTCTTGCACAAACTGCCCCAGTCCCAGGGGGGTGTAAGGCAATTCCCAGGTCACACACCCAAAAGCATAAATGCCTCAACCCCTTCCCTTCACCATACCTCATGTAACAAGGACTTTATTTTCATTATTAGCTTCATAAAGATATTTGATCATTGTTGTATTGGATATCATAAGAGTGCCATAACATTAACAGAACTATTTAACAAGGCATCAAGAGTTATTTTTTCAGAGCCATGCAAGTAACAGCCTCATTGCAGGGATGCCATATCAGGATCAGATGCAAGGCTTACCCAGGCTGGCTTAAAAGATAAGATGGTTTGCAGTACACCTTGACCTGGTAAATCAATATTAAAGAACATAATTTTCCAAAGCCCAGGTTATGAGACAGATAAAGCCTGAGTGAGGTATGGTGTGATGGGGGTAGTGAGGGCGTGAGGATTTAGCGAGATAGTATTGAGCACAGCACACAGTGGTGGGTCAGAGAAAGGCATTGTGGTGCACTGCCTGCTGGTAACTGTACCTGTCACCTGGCCGCGCCCTCTCAGGGATGGGTGGCGGAACAACACGGCCCCCGCGATCCCCCCCTTCAGCCCCCTCCCCAGTCGGTCGTGCCTCAAACACTGGAAGATCCCCAACATCTAGTCCTGCTCCTGCACCCTGCTGTCCAGGTGGTTGAGAAGTTAGCCGGGAACGCAGAAGATAAACGTACGTCCGATATCTTTTGACCTGTAACATTGTGACATTTAAAAGTGTGCAATTTATTAAATTCAAGAAGTAAATTGTAACAAAATATTAAAATGTAATTAAAATATTTAAGATTCAATATACATAGAGGGATGGAAGAAAAACAATTATAGAAAAATCAGATATGGCTCAAAGAGAGAGATTCCCGATTCCATTGTGAAATTATCATATAACAAAACCACCCCATCCTTTCATCTTCACATTAGTTCTCATCAGGTCAGTTTTCTCGTCTAGCAGCATCATATATATATATATGTTTTCTCTGAAGCACACTGCCAGTGAAACATTAAACACGTTTTAAGTTACAATACGTTAAAACTAATCAACTCCCTTAGACTAACTACAACAACATAAAAAGTTACCTAATATGTAAGTATGCATTTAAAATTAATTTTAAAATGAGCAAGAAATCATTCTACTTCTTAACCACTTAACTGCGCCAACCAAGTATTCTCGGTCGGCGGGAAACTGCGCCAACCGAGAAAATTCTCTTTGATTTTTCCGTACCCACTCTAAATGTGTGAGAGGTTGGTTGTGTACGAAATGGACTCTTCGGACCTCCAGTGAGAGGCAGCCATCTTGGAAAAAATTCCCAGAATGCCCTAGGGCTGCTGGCTGGGTTAGTACAGAATGAGCAACCATGCGTGGCGCACGCGCCTCTGGCTCCCAAACACCTGTCCAACACGGTGTTGAAAGATTGCTCTGTCGGTGAAATTCAAACCTTATTGTTTGAAGAACATAAGGGTCATGATATTGGTGAAGCTAGGCGCAATAAGGACCTAACACAAAGGTCGGATGCAAGTGATACAGCACCGATGAGGACGATATAGCGAGCATATCCAGTTGTAGCTTTGAGCGCCACTTTTGCCCACCCACGTCATCTCCAATTTTTATAGATGATACAAAGATGAATCGTTTTCTGCATTCAGTGATGATGCATCTGATAGAAATAGCATAGATGAACAGTGTTAGCGACTTCCACAGTGGTGTTTTCCATAGATATTTTCAAGAATACCTGAATCTCTTCCAGACTGACGGACACTCTTTGAGGCTAGCTTAACCCTTAAACTGCTCATGGTGTATATATACGCCATGAGTAGCATGTCACACGGTGCGCATGGCGTACATATACGCCATAGGGTGCCAGGCCCGATTCAAATAGCCCGCGGCTACACGGGGTTCACATTAGCTTCCTCAGGGCTCTTGTAAACAGACGCCATATTAAAAAAAAATCGTGGGCAATTTTCTCAGGTGTGAGAGGCACAGTACTGTTGGAGCAACCAAGGCTGGCACACGCCGCATGAGCAAACAGCATTGCTGTACAGCTTGTGACCACAGCATCGCCAAAAAATGTCAAAATAAATATATACAGTAATTGCTATTATTTAGCGATGACAATATTACAGATGACCCTTGACTGAGCAGGATTGTTGTAATAATTAGGGCTGTGGGACTAGTGATGCTGAGAGACGGAGGGAGATAGCATTGTTTACTGACTGTGTGGCCACCTGTTATTGTCTGCATTCACCATACCAGCTCAGTGGTTCTCTATGGTGAACACAAATGTAGATACTTATATATAATGTGTGTATTAGTGTAATAACAGCAAAAGGATTATGCTGGGAGGAGCCATTTGGGTGACGGAGGTGATGTCGTCTGCATGATTTGTTTAGCTGTTTAGAGGATGGCCACTATGCTCTTTGGGCACTCTACAAGCTTAGGTGTACAGTTACAGTGCATACAACATGCAGATACTTATATATAATATGTGTATATATGGTAATAACACTGCAAACAGTATTGTTGGGGGAGAAAGTTTAGTGCATGTGACCTTAAATGAGTGAGGGCGCCGCCAGCTGAATGTGTGTATAGCGACGACTCCTAGTGCCTGAACTAACTATATCAGCTTAGCTGTACAGTTGTGGTGAACAAAATATATATATACTTATATATAACGTCTGTATATAGTGTAATAACACCACAAATGGTATTGTTGGAGGAGAAAGTTTAGTGCATGTGACCTTGAATGAGTGAGGAAGCCGCCAGCTGTGTGTGTAGCGACGACTCTTAGTGCCTGAACTAACTATATCAGCTTTGTTGTACAGTTGTGGTGAGCAAAACATGTTGATTCTTATATATAACGTGTGTATATTTTGAATAAAACATAAAACAGAATGGTGGGAGGAAAAAGTGGGTGAGTGAGGTGTTGTTGAGGGAGTAGCAGCGAGTGGCTGGCTGGTGTGTGGCGGTCACTCCTCGTTGCTTTTCGACTCTCAATACCAACTTAGTGGTTCATTATGGTGAACAAAACATGTAGATACTTATATATAACCTGTGTATAGAGTGTAATGGCAGCAAAACTATTTGTTTATTGTTTTATGAACATAATAATTGAATCACTAATATGCACACCATACTTTTGAGTATAGTGATTATTCACCACTTTTATTATATAAATATATTACAATACACACTATTGAATAATATTACTACAAAAAAACTAAGAAAAAATCAGTCAGAGACATAGAAATAATTAAGTGATTATATCTTCGTGGCAACTCCCACCTGTCTGCACGGGTGACGCTGACCGGCTCTGACGACCGCTCTGTCAACGCCCACTTTTTGCCAGACTTCCTCGGTCAATTGCGCCCAAATTATGTCACCTACGATTTTTTTTTCCCCCGTGCTCAGGGAACACATATTAACATTTTAAGAAGACAAAATAATTTTTTAGATTTTTTTTTTCTTGCGCACAGGGGTGTAAATGTTCTCAGGACCCCTGAGCAGTGGAAGGGTTAATCTCTTTGTGACTGACGAGCACTTTTTGAGTCTAGCTGAATCTCTTCCTGACTGACGGACACTCTTTGAGGCTAGCTGAATCTCTTCCTGTGTGGGACCTTACAAAGTGATCTTTTCAAAACTACCTTACAAATTTATCTTTTCCTATAATCTTTTCAATATTACCTTATGCTTTACAAGCTTGGCTACATACAACCTACAAGTACTAAAGCCAAGGGTGTACGTGAGTGCGTTATTTGCAAGCACACAGAACGAAGAAATAGGAAGCGAAAATCTATCTGTACCTGGTGCACTGAGAGCGAAGTCGTGCTGTGTACCATGGACTACTTCGTTGATTATTACTCACTTCCGAAGTACTGAGTGTGTAATACAGTGTGTTACTGTGTAAACAGTGTGCGAAACTCTACATATTGTAATTTTAGTGAATTTTTAACAAGTAATATTGCGACAATAAAATTTATTGTGGACATATTACTGACACATGTATTACAGTTCCATGGAACATTATGAACGTTCTACTGTATACATATTGTAAAGGACACAAATATGCATCATATACGATAAAAGAACAAATAAAACCGCATTGGAAATACATAGAAAAAATATCTGAAAATATATTTGTGGCAACACCCGGTGCTTGAATGGCCCGCACGACTGTGTCTGAGCTTGTCACGTACGGGCGACCAGACCCTGATGAGGTCACAGCGTACCTTGTCCACGTCCCAACAGCCAAAGTAATTGGAATTTGGTATTTATTTTTACATAGACATGTTCAGGGAAGGGAATTTATCATTTTACAAAGAAAAAATAATTTTGGGGAACACTTTATTTCATGCGCACAGGGGGAATTTCACAATAAACTCGCGCAGCACGGTGGTTAAGGAAATGACATAAATTGAACCTTGACTTTTCACTTTATTTGAAACTAGATGAGGTCCCCAGCAGTGCCTGAGAGAATCCTAAGAAGTGACAACAACAACAACGTGTTGGGTGTTCTAGAATGCAAATCTGTCATCAGAATATGCATTTTGTATAACAGTCTATACAGTATTTGAATACAGTAATAATATGATAAAATTCTAAAAACTCCTTGGAATCAGCCCTGAAGATTTCATCACCAACCCTTGTACAGGCAAACAAATAAACTGATACAGACATTTTCTTTTATACATCATAGATTTGCAGTTCAATGACACTCCAAACACAGCTGACAGTTCTTAAATCTTGTGTCATCCTCTTCAAGTAAACACTTTACAGAACCAAAGCACTTCATGGACTCTATTTTGTAACATTGTTACATAGTTTAAATTCTATTCACTACAGTTAATTTGGAATTCAATACACATACAGAATAGTATAAACCAATACTCTACCATCATTATTAATGCTTAGAAAATAGTGAAGAAGTGAGACATTGCAAAGGGATTATAAGCAATGGTATGAGGGATGGTGGGTGAAAGAGAGGAAAAGGGAGGGCCATGGTTGAGTGGGAGGAGCAGCTGACTGACAGATGCAAGCGAGATGTTATATTCTTTCAGAATATTACTTTAGACTCTAATCTACTATGTAATGAACTTCAATATTTTAAAAATCAGTTAGATATTTTATAATCTTGGATTTTCTTTTTCAAGGGATGCCTGGTCAGCCAGGCTGTGACCCATACTTCAGGTTACAAGCAGCAGCATCGAAGAGGCTGGTTGACCAGATCACCTACCAGGAGCCCTGGTTACCGACCGGTTCGTGGGTAGGTTACTCCTCAGAATCATCAACAGGTATTTCCCCGATCCCCCACCCCCTTTCCTTTCAGATTACAATGCTGAAACTTGAACTGGAAGTTCATCTTATTGGTTAGATTTTATAAATAAAGTTTCATGAAAATTAGAAGTTTTTAATATTACCAATGGAAATGAATGTGATTCAGGTCCCTTAATATTATTGTTGAAAATTTTCCAACACTAATACAGTACATCATTTTTTGTATAATAATACATCCTTATTGTATTAATCGTAGTGATTACTAACCCTACTAATTTGTAGAATTAATTCAATTATTGTTTCTATTACAAAGCAATATTTGCCAGATTCTTCCTAGTCAGAGTGATGACGTGAGGAACGACAGGCTGAAACATGAATTCTTTCCACATTTAGTTGAATCTAAAACAGAGTCCAGTTTATTACGTTCCTTTACTAAGGATAATCCTTTATTTAGTTGATTATTTACACAGCATATTATTGCTTACTGAATTCATTCATTTAGGTGTATTAATAACTACAGTGGAAATTATTATAGTATAAAACGATTTATATAAAATTTCTTAATGCAGTCTTAATAAACTGACTTGCATTGTGCAAAATATATTGCACCTTAATACATTTATTAGTGACAAACATGTCACAATTCCTTACTTTCCCTGATTAATTATAAGTAAGTAAAATAATTTACGCTCGAGAATACTTTGGAGTGTTCTGCGCATGCGTATCACAGCCAGGGAAGGAGACACCATTCTTACTAGAGACGCCATATTAGCAACGTGCAAGGGAGAAGCATTCCTCAGTGAGGCGTGTTCTGAACAGCACCCACCATTACAGTCATTGTGGTTAATTGGCCTGAAGATCAGTCATTGCCTTTAATTGACCAAGGGTGCATTCTACTCTTACTGGAGACCTGAGAGGAGCGCCATAGCTTACTGGCGAACACGTGAACGGCCGTTGCAGTTAATTGGCCTGGAGTACGTCAATGAGTGGACCACAACAATCTTCGTGCCTGCTGTTACTCCACCGGTGATCCCAGGATCGCATCGGTGAACAACTATATGTTAAGTGGCATATCTTGGTGTACTGAGCTCTTTACATTAATTTTTACCCTTGTTCGTCGTTATGTCGCATTCTCTCTTCTAAACACTAAGTACATCCCCAGTGAAATAAATTTACTCCCCTTATTTTGTAACAATAGTATATTCAGTAGAGTGTAAGCAATTTCTACATTGTACTGAGTTTACAGCGTATGTTGAGGCTGTCTGAGGAGAGATCAACTCCCCCGCCATGCTTGTTGTACGCATGTTCCAGCAGGCTCTAGACAATTCCACGCCACAATCGCGCTACTGTTCACTGTCACAGCTAAGAGGCTAAATTCTTTCTAGTTCATTTAATAATCTCTTATATGCAATTGAGATATAATAATATCTCATCATTATAAATCATTTATATATGCCGTATAAATTTTGGCATAAATTTCTTATCGCTTTACTAATATATTAGATAGGAATAATTATCTTATGCTAATTACTGCATTATTCTGTCATTGACTGATTCTTGTTCTATCAAGATTGATTTATTGAACTTTATTTAATTTCTGATTTATATCTGATAGTAAATTTTACTAACCCTGTCGATGAAGAACAAGCATCGATTCAATGTACTAGGGATGTATTAATTTCTAGTATTAACCCCCATTTCGGGTGAGAAGATTTGACTCATAATACAGTCCCTTTAATAATCAATGCATTATTAATTAAGAACATCCATAGGACACTAGTTCCTGGAGTAAAATATTATACCACTAGCTCTAGCCTGTTTTCCACTTTTTCTCAAAAAAGTGGTGGTCCTTCGTTAACTATTGAAAATAGTATTAATTTAAATGATTTACATGAGTCAAGTTTTCCCACACTTACAATAGTCATACGCTCCACATCCATAAAGAATATTCATACCTTGAAATTTTTTATATTTTTACCATTATATTACTAGCATTTCATTGTAAATATCTGATCCACACAACTCTTCCCCCACATAACCTACCTAATTACTAACCCACCCACATTATTAACCAGTTTTCCCACTATTTTCCATATTCTTCTATTTATTATCATATGCTAATGTCCTTAGAATTTTTAGTCACCATATTCACCTTTACTTTTTCTAACCCCAGCTCCTTTCCAATCATCACACACAGCACCACTTTCTCATAGTGTCTGGATACGCCTTCAAAATCACATCCTGTATTCAGCCTATTTATAAATTACTGAGTTATTGGGATTATTTCCTTTAAGTACTATAAACAATGAGCTTACCTCCTTGATGAGGTATGCTTCCTTTTCTCTATAATTTGACATGGAGTATGCTTTGCTATTCTTCTCCGGAGGGTGAGCCTTGTGGTCCTCTAGCTCCTGCTCCAGCTGTGCTAATCGCTGAGTATGGTCCTCCACTTGTTCAGTCTGCCAAAATGGGTTTAACTTTTCTTAAAAGACAAATTAGTATCAGCTGCATCACTGAACTAAAAAAAACAGATTTGAATGTAATGAAACGCCATTTTCTGGGTGAGACCAGGAGGCTCCCTGGAGCTATACCGAGCTGATGTGTTTATATTAGACCATGGCAACAGTCAATCGATGGAGTTCTAGCCTACCGTGGACCAGCATCGGAATCTGGTTCTCCCTCAGAGAGGCACGAGGAGCAATGGCCTATAGACACCCCCGTGTAATTGGAAGCAGTCTATGTCTGACATCTACCAGGTCAGGCACCCAGAAAGATAGGAATTCCAAAACTACAGCAGGTTATAAATTGCAAACTAAAAACTGAACTAGCTAGCAGAACTCCCCAATTGAAAACAAGCATGACGTCACCAGAGCCGCCGTGTCACTGTCTGCCCAACTCCTCCACCATGGGAGGGAGAAGGGGGGTCCCAGACCATCTGAGCCTGCTACCCAATCCCAGTTCAGAGGCTAAATATAAAAAACCAGCGTAGAATGTAATGAAACGCCATTTTCTGGGCGAGACCCGGAGGCTCCTCGGAGCTATTTAGGCTGATATTGCTAATGTCAGACTTTGGCATCAGTCATATGAATGGAGTTCTTTGGGCCTACCGAGGACCACGAGCCAGAACCTGGCTCCTTCAGAGAGGCACGAGGAGCAATGGCCTATAGAAACCCCCATGTGGTTGGAAGCATTCTATGTCTGCCATCGACCAGGTCAGGCACCCAGAAAGGTAAGCGCCCCAAAACAAACCCCTATTTTGGTGAAAATTTCTACAAAAACCCGAACTAGTGGACAGAACCCCTAAACAGAAACGAGCAAACAAGCATGACGTCATACCTCGCCGCACCGCTGTCTACACAGCTCCCCCCTCTCCAGGAGGGAGAAGGGGAAGCCTCAGACCTTCATGCCGGCAATCCACACCTCAGTTCTGAGGCTGGACATCAAAGCATGTGGAAAAATCACCGACCGGGGTAAGGGAGGGCTGCCGGGGAGCCTCCATGTCTCACCCAGAAAATGGCGTTTCATTACATTCAATGTTGGTTTTCTGGGGAAAGCCCCTTTGGCTCCCGGAGCTAATGAAGACCAGAGGAAAGATGAAGACCAGAGGGACTTACTCAGGAGGCGGTCGTCGCTCACTCCTCAACTCGAAGTCGACACAACTGGCTGCATCCGCTGACGCAAAGCGACACAGGTCCGACTAGGCCCCAGGAACGTTCACCATGTAACGTGCAGCCAGGACCCTGTTCGACCACCAAAAACCCGGCGCCCGAATGTCAACCCAAGACATATTACCAAAAACAGCAGCAAGTGCAGCAAACTTACGAACATCATGAGCACGGGGATAGACCACAGGCCGGCTAGACCGAATAACTCTGCGGACGACCCAGGAGACCCGAACCCTGGAACAGGGAAGAAGGGAAACCGGATCGACCCAAAGCGCATACCCGGCCACAGAGTCCGTGGCACGCAAATAATGGGAGAGCCGCAATTGGACACAATACATGATGCACCCCCGGCCTGACCATGCATCAACAACCCAAGGACCCCTCCGAAAAGCTACAAGGGCTATAACCCAAGGGCTACAAGCAGCACAATCCGGCATCCCGAACCACAACGGAAGGAAAACGAGCAATGCTGAGACACAGCGAGGAGAGAAGAGATATGAACAAATGAACGGGAAGGTCAAAAACCCAGAAGCCACCCGGAATAGGACCCACAAGCCCTAAAAAGGACCGGAGGGAAGCCCCACTGAACGATGACAGACGTACCAGGAAAACGGGAAGGAGCAAAACCGTCCCAAACCTTCGCGAACACATAGAAGCAAACACAAAGGACGAAGGCACAGAAAAACCCAGTCGCACCCGAGACCAAAAGTCATGCAGAACACCAAGAAGAAGGGGACATGACGGAGAAATCCCGTCCCAGGAAAAAAGGGCAAGAACGTAGAAAAGCACCCACCGACAGGACAGAAGCAACGAGCATAATGGACAAGGAACCGAGCCCGGGGAGGGGCCGACGCCCAAATACTCATGTGAAGGGACCTAGGAACCAAACCTATGAGCCAGAGCCCAAGCGGATTCCAAGGATTGAGCAAGCACCGCCTGATTGCATGCGAGACGAGAAGCAAAGAACAGAGACACCGCCTCCTGCAGGATCAGCGCAAACAGCTTCAACAAGGCAGCCGACGCCAGTACTGATGAGATCAGCACACCAGAACCAGGATTGGCATCCAGCGCCTCCATGTCCTCCTCAAGCCAGTCCAAAGACATCTCGAGAATGGAAAAGAAATGAACGACCGAAACCAAATGGCCATGGGCACGCAAGTTCTCAGCAACCAGGGCAGCCGAAAGGGAGGGGGACCTGCATGTGAAGCTGTACCTGGCCGACATCCCGAGGAAGAACAGGGGTAAATAAACACACATTGAGGCGTTCAAACTCGCCCCCAGGCAGACCTGAGCAACCATAAGGGCCTCTCACCACTCAAGCGTGCAGGACCAATAGAACGTATGCCATTCCACCAATGAAAACAGTTCGCCAACAAGGATGACACTGGAACCTCGTAATGCACTCAATAAGGAAAGGAAGAACCAAACTCAAAAAGAGGCAGGATCCATTATCAAGGCGTAATTGGGTCGCACAGGGGGTAAGCCGCAATGGCCTCCCACACCTCATGTGGTGTTATGCGAGAGGCCCAAAACCTTCAAAAAGACGGGACCAAAGTAACCAAGGGAACCTGGAACTGAACCCGGAGAGGGGGTTGATGCCATATCAAACTCGTACAGGGAGGGGGGATAAGAAAACCCCACATCCTGCACCAACAAGTTCTACTCAGAAGGTACCAAAACCCAAGCAGGGTCAAATGGGGCCCAAGCCCCCGAAGTCATCCCAATTTCCCACCCTAGGAACCTCTACACCAGGACCTGGGGCTGAGCTGTCCCCCAAATTCTCTGCCTTGAAAGAAAAGGCAGAGTCCACCAGAAAAGCTGGAATGAAGGGGGGTCCATTGGTTAGACCCAGAAGTACCAGCTAGAGGAACAGGCTCAAATGCACTCGTCGTCACACCAAGAGGGGGCATCCACCGAAACCACCCGAATCTCACCAACAACTAAACCCTGCCCCGACTCTGAAACCCTCAGACGCTTCAGAGCTGGGTGCAGGGATGGGAGGAACATGATGAACAACAGCAGGGGAAGGATAAGGTGGCACAGACAAAACCAAATTCGAGGTGTCTAACACCCCCAAATCCGAATCCCTATAACCAAGACAGGGCAATCTCAGGGCATACGGGTGAGCAACCAACCTAGTGCGCTGCAGCAACCTATAATGCGCATGTAACACCGAAGCTGCCTGCACCCAAATATCAAGATTAGTGGATTGGGTGAACTGGAGTAAAGAAGCAAGGAACCCCACTCGCAGGACTCCGGGTCGAAGGTGTCACCGACTCAACAGACAGCACAATGGAGGCACAACCGATGATTGATACCCTTAGACAAGGGGACAGAGCAACCCTCAAACTCTCACGAAACAAGATGGGACCCCAGGGGATGCATCCATTGGACCACAGAGCCCCGGTGGGGGTTTCCGGGGCACATAGACACAAAGGGAAGCCTCGGGAGGGGTGGGGTGGGATATGGAATGGGCTGCTCAGACGAGCGGCACGGCGGCAGTGTGTGAGGTTTGCTTCGGGGAGTTCTGCCTCTCTGGTCGGTTTTTGTTTGCATTTTTTTCCATGTGAGGTCTGTTTCGTTATGCCTACCTTTTTGAGTGCCTAACCCCAGTTGATGGTAGATAAGGTAAACCATAAGGTAATTTTCTAGGGCCATTGCTCCCTGTGCCTCTCTGAGGGGGCCAGATTCTGGCTCGTGGTCCCCGGTAGGCTGAACTCCTTTGACTAATGCCCTAGTCAAATATATAGCATATTAGTCCGATAGCTCCAAGGAACCGAAGGGACTCCCCACAGAAAAGATAACTAAAAGTGGGAAAGAGAATCCCTGAGGAAGCACCACAATCCAGAGGTATATTGTGTGTGTCATGGCCACTGCGATTATGCAAGCAGGGCAGCACAGCGTGCCCCAACCAGCAACAAACCAATCCCTACCCAGGGCCAAACGAAGGTACTGAGACCTAAGCTGAACCCAAGGGCAAAGCAGAAAGCCAAGCAACTGCTATCTTTACAGGAATGGGGTCCGAAGGACCCAAAGAAGAGAACTCCGAACCCCAAGGGTTCTGAACCCTAAGGTGCACTCACTGGGTGCTCAGGGAAGGGAGCCCTAAGAGCGAACAGCCCTTGGTGCAAACTCCGGGCCACCACCAATGCACAGCAGGAACACCAGCAGGGTGAAGCCTATCAGGCAACCGAGACCAAAGCAGATTTCCACCCCATATAGCTTCAGCCGACAAACTGACGGTCCAGCTGCTGGCTCAGTGGGCTGAGATCCCCTCTCCCCCTTCCTGGTGTGTGTGTGTGTGTGTGTGTGGGGGGGGGGGGTGGCATCACGAGTGAGCGGCACGCGGTGTGATGACGTGTTTCATGTAAGCTTGTTTTTCTTTTGGTGGAGTTTCTAGCCTCTCTTTGGTCTCAGGTTGCAATTGTCCACCAGGAGGGGGGGTGTTTTAAAGTGCCTAACTTTCTGGGTGCTTAACCCTGGTCAATGGCAGACAAGACTACTTTCTTACACAAGAGTTTCATAGGCCATTGCTCCCTGCACCTCTCTGACAGGACCATGTTCTGGCTAGTGGTCCCCAATAGGCATGACAACTCCATATGACTGAAACTCAATACTAATATCAGTCCAATAGATTCAGAAAGCCTCTGGGGTTCCCCCACAGAAAAAGGCTAATCTGATACAAAAAAAATTATCATGGCTGGGTAATGAGGATGCTAACAGAAAATACTGGTGTAAGCCCTTGCATTATTTGTGTGTGTATAAATATGCACATAGATGTGACCCATCATTTGCTCTAAGGAAACTCTAAACTATTGTGATAAATATAAAAAAGCCAAACATTCAGGAAAATCTGGATTCCTCCCAAATCTGGAGGAGGCCTGGAATAAATTAGTCCAAATTTTGCAGGCTGCTCTGTATTAGTATATACCTACTAATAATAAACTTTCAAAGTTTCACTAGAATATCTTTATCCATTCTTGTAACATATATAAAAATAGCATATAATCATTAGTATCACTGGCAACTCAGGATACTAGGAGTGTCTCCTAGCATCAGTGCATGTGTTCAAAAATTTTGGTGCGGCTATGCTCATTAACTTTTGTTATATTGTTGAGGTTTCTCCTTTCCTAGATGATGTGTTTGGAGAGTTCTAAATTCTGCCACAAGTGGGCTATATGCCTAATAAGAATGGGAACCTTCCTTGCATCACCATAAGTAAATCTTTTAAGTTTAAAGCCAATATGGAAAGGTGTTCTTCATACATCACATGTCACTAAATATTTTGGATAAAAAATCAAACTCTGAACATAGTACTGAATGCTGAAAAACACCTTAGTTGCTTCCTATACAACAATCATATTAATTCCCTGGATATGATTTGAACAGTCAGAGCAGATCTACACTTTACAGCATGGATTTTTTGCATGTTCCTGCTTGACCATTCTAGTGCTAGGGAGACCCTGGAAAATACTTATCTAGCCCATGAAGATACTCTGAAGGAGCATGCTGATATATTCAAAGCCCTTCCTAACACTACTTGGCATCACAAGAGCCATCAGTTAGTGATCTTGATAAAACTATCAAATTGTCTGCTGAGCAGACCAAAGCTAAACAAAGGGTTGTCAATATGTGGTCAAGACAGGAGCAATGATGAAAATGAATATCAAGAGCATATAAATATCGCAGGTCAAGCAAAAAATAAACAACTAAATTCAAAATGAGTTAACTGAATACGGAATGACAAGCATTTTGTTAGTGATGTCACATTTAGATAAGTGCCACATAATATATAAGAGTTGGTATACTGTATATAAGAGAGGTCTGGCACAGCCTCTCTAAAGAATTAGCAATCATAATGATTAAATTGTTTTCAATTAGGAAATTTATACACATACCAAATTGAGTTTGGTGATACTACAAGGAAGGAGTGGCCGCTGGAATTTGCGTTGAGAACCAACAGCTCCAGGCAGTGGAGCTGCAGAAAGGCTTGCTGCTACCAGGTTGATGGTGTCTATCCAAGCCTGAAGTTCTTTGCTATCACTGAGATGTAAGCCACAACATTAGTAAAACAAACAAGATATGCAACTTTATGGATTTTTTTGTGGACTATATACAATGTCGAACACAAAATTACTTTACCAAGTCAATAATTCCTTCACAACACCAAGGTTCAATAAATATAATCACACTTTCCATGAATAGTAAGTTAATGGTAAAAGGTAACAGGAATACTGTCTGTTTAATAAGAACAAACATAGCAATGCAAATCAACAAATCCACAAGGGCCGTGACGAGGATTCGAACCTGCGTCCGAGAGCATCCCAGACGCTGCCTTAATCGACTGAGCTACGACATGGTCGTAGTGTGTAATGAAGTAAGGGCGAAGAGGGAAAACGGCCTATTGACATAGCTCGAGTGCATGGGGGGGGAGCTGTGTAAAACCCTGGTTTGTGCCTCGGAGAGGCTGCAGGATCCAGTAAGTTCAGTAGAACTTTGGTTTCAACTCCTTTTGACCATGTCGTAGCTCAGTCGATTAAGGCAGCGTCTGGGACGCTCTCGGACGCAGGTTCGAATCCTCGTAACGGCCCTTGTGGATTTGTTCATTTGATGCATCACGCAATTATGATTTCTGTGTGTAATAGCAATGCAACTATTACCTTGTCTGAAGCAAATATTCAGCTTGATCAGCCGTCTGCAATCGAAAGACATGTTCCTTTTTAGCATAATCATGAGCTCGTGTTGCAAGAGCATGATGCAGACGAATGGCATTATGGCCTAACTGGGCATGCTGTGGTCCACGTCTGGCTCCTTGTTCATCTTTGTGCAAGTACAGCACTAAATCCTGAATTACACAGAACCACATCTTCCATGAACGCTTTCCAAATGCAGCTTAAAATAAACAAAATAAATAGTATGGTTAATAAAATCCCTGCATAGGATGAGGAACACAAATATAAAATGTTAATATACTGTATTGCAACTATCTACCAAACATATTTTATGCCCTTTCCCTCAAGGGACACATCATCATCATCATCGAGTGGTGGCCATATACGGACTCTTCCCCAGACACTTCAAACACTATGTATTCTGGGGATTCTTTGATAGAGTACTGATACATGCCACAAACATTCCACATGCTAGTTTAGCTAATGTACAAGTAAAGAAGTCATTAGCTGTTTACTATGGAAGACAAAGAATGTGTTAATAAATACTGTTGCTATCACTAATTGCATACAAGTGAAGACACAAAACAATACAGAAAACTACTCTGTAAGGATAAGGAAAAGCACAGAATGACAAAACAGAATACATTATACACTAGTGAATGGCACTGTAATGTGAATACTGTGTATAGCCAGAGAAAATATTCACCAATAGGGGATAGATACATCAGAGCTGTACCAAAGGTGGTGTTAGCAGAGTGCCCATGCAAGGCACCATCCTCTAGGACAGGGGGTTCTTAAACTAGGGGTATGCATATCCCTGGTGCTCTCTCTAGTGTTTTTATGTTCCAAGATTGCTCTAGTGTGTAAATGGTTAATCAATCTCTAGATGACTAGAGAATAATTAAACAAATTTGAAGAGAAGTCAAATTCACACCTTGCACAGGCTCCCATCAAGACTGTACTGACCCCGGTACACCTGTCTCCCAAAGCAGAGCTTCAATGGGACAACAAAACTGATCTACTAGTGCTTCAAATTACATGACTAAACATACAATATACTGATTAATATCCATTTATTTTATCTCATTCTAAATAACAAAAATGAGGTTTATTCATAAATATTCATATTTATAATAAACACTAGCAGTACCTGGCCACAGCAACCTTCCCTGTCCCCCAGTCCTCCCCACCATTCCTGCCCCCCCCCCCCCCCCACCCATCTCCTCGGCCTTCCAACCATTCCCCACTCCACTGTACCCAAGTCCTCCCCACCAATCCCTCTTCCTTCCCACCATGCCCCACTCCCCTGTCCCTTTGTCCTCCCCCACCATTCCCCATTCCCCATCTCCTCGTCCCCACCATCCCAAACTCCCCCGTCTCCTCGTCCTTCCCCACCATTACCCCCTCCCTTGTCCCCTCGTCCTCCCCACCATCTCTCACATCCGTCCCCTCGTCATCCCCACTATTCCCCACTCCTTCGTCCAATGCCTTCCCAAATGGTCTGATGTTCCCACCAGAAAATTGGGAACATGAAGTGATCTGATGTTCCCATCACTGAAATACTGTATAAGAAAAAGAGTTAAAAAATTAAATGAAAATATGAAAAAAAACAAAAAACTATACACACGAAATGAGCGGCATGGTAAAAACACAGCTCAATTCCAATGCAATTCACACAAAATAATTAAATCAAAATGAAAATAAATCAAAATCTATGAAAATTCAATTTATCAATGCAATCAGAAACATTAAAATGGAATTGTAACATATTTAGTATAGCATGTGTGCTGCTCTTACATGCAACAGATGGCGCTGTTTTTCAAGAAAAGCATAGTTTTACCTGTCACAGGTGTGGCATCTATACTTAAACTTACGAAATGAACGGTATGGTAAACAACACAGCTCAATTCCAACACAATGTCACACAAAATAATTTAATAAAAAACCAGCGTTGAATGTAATGAAACGCCATTTTCTGGGTGAGCCCCAGAGGCTCCCTGGAGCTTATCGGGCTAATGTGTGTTATATTAGACCGGGACATTAGCTAAGGAGTTCTGACCTACCAAGGACCAGCGCCAGAACCCGGCCCCTTCAGAGAGGTTTCAGGGAGCAATGGTCCTGGAAAACCCCCTTTGTGGTTGGGGTTTTCCTTATCTGCCATCAACCGGGGTTAGGCACCCAGAAAGGTAGGCATAACAAAACAAACCTTATCTGCCATCAACCGGGGTTAGGCACCCAGAAAGGTAGGCATAACAAAACAAACCCCACATGGTAAAAAAACTAAAACATAAAACCGAACAGAGAGGTAGAAACTCCCTACAATCCCAAGGAAACAAGCAAACATCATACTTTACTGCCGCGCTGATTGTCCGCGCAGCCCTCCCTGCCCCGAGAAGGGAAGGGGGAAGTCCCGGACCTCACCACGCCGGTTGCCTAGCATTAGTTCGGAAGCTAAGCTTCAACCAACGCGAAAAAAACGCCGATTCGTGGGAAGGAGGGTTGCCAGGGAGCCTCCTGGGCTCATCCAGAAAATGGCATTTCATTACATTCTACGCTGGTTTTCTGTGGGGAGCCCCTACGGCTCCCTAGAGCTTCATACTCAAAGAGAAGGAAAAGAAAGGGCTGACCTGGGAGGCGGCCGCCACAAACTCCGCAACGCGAAGCTGAGACAACAGGCTGCAACCTGCGACCCAAGGCAACAAGATCGCACAGGAGCAGACACGCGCATAAGAACGGGAGGCCATGAACATGTGCAACCCTTAAATCCTCGCGCTCGAAATGAGCCCTAGACGTCACCAACACAGCAGCGAAAGCTGCAAACGTCTGAACAGCACGGGCACAAGGATAGACCGCAGGCTGGAAGACTTAAAAACTCTGCGCACGACCTGTGAGACCCGAGCCCTGAAACAGGGAATTAGGGGAACTGGATCAACCCAAAGCGCAACCCCAGACACAGTATGCAGGTAACAGCAAAGAGGCGCAACTGGACAACACAGGACGCACCCCCGGCCAAACCAAACAAGCATCAATAACCCAAGGACCCCTCCAGAAAGCAGCCGTCTCGACTGTCGCCAGAAGGACGGAGAAAGGCTGCAAACATACAAACCTACCACCAGTATTACAGCAACCCGTTCTCGCACTTGCTTACAGTCAATATTGGCATATTTAATAAGTGCATATGTGACATACTAATTGATCGTGAATATTTTAGTTTACCTTGAAAAGCTTCATAGAAAACACCGACCTCACCTAACCTTCTTAGTATGTTAAGATAAGCATCTTTTTGCTTCTTAATTACAATTATTGCTTAACCTATACCGTTGATAGGTTAAGTAATAATTGTAAATATGAATAATTACAATTATTACTTAACCTATACCGTTGATAGGTTAAGTAATAATTGTAAATATGAAGCAATAAGATGCTTATCTTAACATACTAAGAAGGTTAAGTGAGGTTGGTGTTTTCTATGAAGCTTTTCAAGGTAAACTAAAATATTCACAATCAATTAGTATGTCACATATGCACTTATTAAATAAGCCAACATTGACTGTAAGCAAGTGCGAGAACGGGTTGACTACAGAGCAGAAACCCCTGCACCGAAAGAGCTGGAAGCTCCCCGACTCGACCCGCAGAGGCCCATGCCAACAAAATATGGCCTATGAAAACCAAACTTGAACCGAAGGGGCTACCACAAACTGAGGAGAAGATGATAAGAGGGTACCCTGATCAAGAACCAGGATGGCTAAGGCGACGCATGAGCAGGCCAGAGGTGAACAAAACACGAGAAAGCGTACGAAATGGGGCAGATGTGACGTCCACCCCGAACACAAACCGGAGCGGCTCCACCAGCGCCGCACAAAACGAGGCGACAGTAAGAAACATCAAAAACTTTAGTCTTGAAAACCCAAGAAAGGACAAGACAAGAAAAAGGACATGACAAGAAAAAGGTCCATAGAAACACCAGGAACGTCATACTGTCGCCGAGACGAAGCTCGCAGGTGGGACACCATCAACAAAGACACCTGATCAACATATAGATGGTGATACCTGCGTCAAAATACCAGACACCAAGAGCCAAGGAGAAGGATAAGAGGGAAGGATAAGATAATAATAAGAGAGAGGAGAAGAGCCAGAAGCAGAAAACCCAGGCAGAGGCAAACAGCCCCAGAACTGCTAGCAGGCATCCCCCATAGCCCTGGGAACCTGCAACAGAGGCCCTGGGGCAGAGTCATCCTCCAAGCCCTCCGCCCTTAAAGAAAAGGAAGAGTCCATGGGAAAGGCAGCAAGAAAGGGCTGCTGGTAAGACCCAGAAGCCTTGGTGGGGGGATGGAAATAGCCTCGGCTACCATCCTTTTTTGTCCGGTCGTGTTGGTCGAGCGGTTAAGGGATCCTGTACGCCAGAATGCTCCTGGAAGTATGGGTTCGAGTCACTTCTGGGGTGTGAGTTTTCAGTTGCATATAGTCCTGGGGACCATTCAGGCTTGTTCGCATTTGTGTTCCTCACGTGTGCCCTAAAGAATGAGGTGATTTGATAAAATACCATGCCCAAGATTACCAACCGAGTGCCGGCGGGGGGATGGAAATAGCCTCGGCTACCATCCTCTTTTGTCCGGTCGTGTTGGTCGAGCGGTTAAGGGATCCTGTACGCCACCAGAGTGTTCCTGACAGTATGGGTTCGAGTCACTTCTGGGTTCTGGGGTGTGAGTTTTCAGTTTATATATATATATATATATATATATATATATATATATATATATATATATATATATATATATATATATATATATATATATATACATACACATATATATTTAAATTGACATTATTAGGCAATCCTGTGGTCACAAGCTGAACAGCAGTGCTGTGAGCTCATGTTGTGTGCGCCAGCCTTGATTGCTCACTCAGTACTGAGGCTCTCACACCCGTGAATGTGTCCCACGATTTTTTTAAAGATGGTGTCTATTTACAAGAGCCCTGTGGAAGCTGATGTGAACCCCATGTAGCCGCGGGAGTTTTGAATGGAATGCTAAAAATATAAATACCCAGAGGTGCGTTGCACACCCTTGTCGAGGACCTGCAGGCGCATTGCACAGTTGAGGGGTTAACAAGATAATTCTGTGAAATTAATCTGAATGAAAGTTTAATTACCAAATGAACAGTCTCCAACTTGGTGGTACTGAATATTTCTTTAGTCTAGTTAATAAGTTGAATCAACCTAAAACTATGTAATATTAAAAAAGATTTCACACAACCCAGTCAACATTAAGCTACTCACTTTTTTTCCCATTAGGATCAGTGCAGCACTTGCGCATGATGTATCCCTTCTTGTACTGAATTCCGTTGCCAGCGGGCGGTGCTAGGAAAGGGTTGCTTCCCACACCTGACTGCGAGTCACCAGCTGTGCCACCAGACTTGCTAGTCCCTCCAGCTTCTGTGTCTCCATCATCATCTCTGTGTATTTGTTTAGTAAAAGAAATGACATGTAAACGCCAAATACTGTGCAATGACATGAAAAGTGATTCAGCTTCTAAAGAATCTCCAATACGATTTCTTTTTTATTGTAACTTTAAAAATCCAGCTTTGAATGTAATGAAATGCCATTTTCTGGGTGAGCCCTGGAGGCTCCCTGGAGCTATCGGATTAATATGGGATATATTAGTCTGGGGCATCAGTCAATTGGAGTTCAGCCCAATGGGAACCATGAGCCAGAACTTCACCCCCCTCAGAGAGGCAAACTGAACAATGGCCTATGGAAACACCCTTGTACTTGGGGGCATTCCGTGTCTGCCATCGACCATCGACCAGGATTAGCACCCAGAAAGGTAGTCGTAACAAAAAATGGTAAGAAAAATTGCAAGAAATTTCAAGAGGCAGAACTCCCCCAATTTTAAACAAGCAAATGTCACACCCAACTGCAGTGCCACTTGTCCTCACAGCCCTCCGCCTCCCTTCCCCTCCCGGGGAAGGGGGAAGCCCCGGACCCCCAGTGCCAGCTACTCAAAACCTCCAGTTCTAAGGCTAGGCATCAAAACAACAAGAAAAACCATCATCTGGAGGGAGGGAGGGAGGGAGAGGTGCCAGGGAGCCTCCCGGCCCCACCCAGATAATGACGTTTCATTATATTCAATGCTGGTTTTTTATGGGGAGCTCCTCCAGCTCCCTGGAACTACCTAACTAAAGACAAGAAAAAGAGGGAAGTACCCGGGAGGCGACCGTCACTCCTCAACTCGAAGTCGGATAACTGGCTGCAACCGACGACCCAAAGCCCCACACAAACAACCAGGACCAGGAATATTTACCAAATAATGGGCACCCAGGACCCTGTTCGACCTCCAAAACCCCTCACGGCTGAATGTCAGCCCAAGACATGTTGCCGAACACGGCAGCCAAAGCCGTAAACTTACAAACATCATGGGCACAAGGGTAGACTGCAGGCTGGCTAGACTTAATAATCCTGAGGATGACCTGGAAGACCCCGAGGCCTGGAACAGGGAATGAGGGAAACCGGATACACCCATAGAGGGTCCCCAGCCACAGAAGCTGAGGCGCACAGATAAAGACGAAGAGCCGCAACCGAGCACAACTCATGATGCACAGCCAGCCTGACCAATAAAACATCAATGACCAAGGGGCCTCTCCGGAAAGCCTCCGTCTTGTTCTTCGCCAGAAAAGAAGAAGACGGCTGCAACCTAACAAACCGACCAACAGTACCGAAAGACCAGAAACCCTTGCGCCAGAGGAGAGAGCGTGAAGCTCACCCACCTGACTCCCAGAGGCCAATGCCAAGAGAAATCGCCATAGAAAAACAATCTCGAACCGAAGGGGCCACTACAAACTGAGGAGAAGAGAGAAAAGAGAGCACCCAGTCCAAGGACCAGGACGTCTTGTGCAAAGCACGAGCAAGTCGGAGGTGAAACAAAGCACGAGACAGCTTACGGAATGGGGCGGAAGTGACATCCATCCCAACGCAAGCTGAAGTGGTTCTGCCAGCGCCGCACGATACAAGGCGACAGTATAAGCATAAGATAACAGTCCTGAAACAACCGAGAAAGGAAGACAACAGGATCCGAAACAGATGAAAACCTACAAAGGGACAAGAAAGGACGAAAGGACTGCCAGGAAACTTCATACTGCCGCCGAGACAAAGCACGCAGGTGGGACACCATCAATGAAGCCCCCTGCTCACCATATAAATGGTGATAGACCCACATCAGAAAGACCAGATGCAAAAACTTAATGAGAAGATCGAACCAGCTATATAACGGACAGGCCTGATCTGCGAAAAGAGGCAGAACCACAATGGGGCCAACAGGACTACTCTCCCTTGGTAAGTCTCCAAGCAATCCAGGACCTGGAGCAATAGTGGACCTGGGGGGGGGGGGGAGGAAATAGGTACAGGTAACCCAACCTAGACCAGTCCTGCCTAGAGGCAACAACCCTGACGGCCTTGCTGTCGGAGAAGGGCGCTACCTAATTTGGGAGACACCTGGACCACACCGACGCGAAAAGGTCCACCTCCGGGAACCGGTACATCTGATAGCGCCAACTGAACAGGTTTGCATCGGCAGTTCATTCCGTGGACAAGGAAATGAACCGTGATAGGTCGTCCACCAGGACGATAGACACCCTCCAAACGTGAACAGCCAGGAGAGCGAAACCCTGAGAACTCAGCAGACGAGTTACCTGAAGTGACCAGCCCCAAAGAGCCAATGACCGCATTGAACCCTTGAGGTTAAGGCAATGAACCAAGAAGGAGCAGTCCGAATGGAGCTGGATCGTTGATCCCCGAGCGACCTGAATCCTCTGAAGCAACATCCACACTGCCGCGAACTCCCGCACCATGCTCTGGGCCCGACGGAAGGACAGGCTTCACCACCCCTGGCTGGTCTGGTGACCACTGATCACAAAGCCCCAGCCAAGAGACGACGCGTCCATGAACACATCGAGCGAGGGCAAGGGTAGGCGCCAAGGCATTAAACCCCGAAAAACCCGAAGAGGAAGCCAGTAATGCAGCAGCTGACATGAGGCACCCGGAGGCCGAACCCAGCGATCGTAAGAGAGGTGAAAGGAACGTCCTCAAAGGAACCAGAACAACCTAACCTATCTTAACCTAACCTAAACTAACATAATTAAATCAATAATTTATGTTCTTATTATAATAATAATATTTAAAATAAACCAATAGGAAACAATTTATTGAAAATAAAGAAAATCACTCGGCCTATTAGGCAAATTGGGCAGGAGGCCGAGAAGTGCATTCTGGCTACTAGGTACGACACACACACACACACACATATATATATATATATAAAAGGTCAACAACACCAAGGGGTAGACCCCCCCCCCACCAGGCAGAAAAACAAAAATAAAACGTACCCTGCAAGAGTACAACGTCCCCAGGCGGAACAGAGCCGGCTGCTATATTATGGTGAAAACTAGCTGCACAGTACCTTGCACCCCTACCAGTGACGAAACTAACTCCTACCCAGGGGCAAACTGTGGTGTTAAAAACACCCCAGCTGACTCCACGGGCAGGCAATTACCGAGCACCAAAAGATCACAGCAGAAGCAGGCCCCAAGTGAACTGTGGAAGGTAACCCCAAGCCACAAGGGGAGTACTTACAAGGCACCTAGGGAATGTAACACTAGGCACATGCAGCCCGAGTACTGGTGAAAGTACTCCTGGCTCACACACCACCTCAGACCAACACCACACCACAAGGCACAGCACTGAACAACATCAGGGATCAGAGTCACACAACTACCCAGTCTCTCATCAGTTTCAGAACTGGAGGGTAGATAGCCAGCAGCAGGGGATCTAGAGCTCCCCTTTCCCCACCCAGGGAGGGGGAAGCTGCACAGACAGTAGTGTGGTGATGGTTGTGACGTCATGCTCGTTTGCTCATTTTAGTTTGGGAAGTTCTGTTCAACAGTTCGGCTTTCAGCAGCAAATTTTTAACCAGATAGGGTTTGTTTTGGGGCATCTACTTTTCTCGGTGCCTGACCTGGTCGATGGCAGACATGGAATGCTTCCAACCACATGGGGGTTTCTATAGGCCATTGCTCCTCGTGCCTCTCTGAAGGGGCTAGGTTCAGGCTCGTGGTTCCCGGGAGGCAGAACTCCATTCATTTTGACAGATGCTAGGGTCTAATACATTCATATCAGCCCGGATAGCTCTGGGGAGCCGAAGCAGCTCCCCCCCAGAAAAGCAGGTTATTATGGAATAGTTATCTGCCTTGTCTAATAATAAACCTCTCACAACATCTAAATACAGGTACCAAACATTGAAAATTACCTCACAAGTGATATACTGTACAGTATTTTTAAAAGTAGATATATATTTGAGACAAAATTTTGTATTACTCACGTGGCCCACTGTAATGGCTGGTTGCGCATTGCATGATACAGAGATTTGAGCACTTCTCTGGGGAAATTTTCTCCATCATTTAGATCTGCCAGGTTATCGATGAATTCATTACAGGTCATCTTACGCCCAACACTTTGTCCATGAAGGTCAGTGTTCAGCAGCATCAGGGCACAAGTCAACGTGTGAACAGCATCTGAAATGTAATTTTCAGTTTTAAGCTTATGAAGCCATTACTAATTTTGAAACAATGTTGTGATAATATACACACTCAACAAAGAACTCAACTTCAGGCCCATATGACAAGCAAATATGAGTGCACAAGATGCTTGTTAAGAATATATTAAGGGGCTTTAATTCATATCATGCTAAGAAATAAAGCTGCCTTCTTGCAACAGTTGCAGTGACCTCAGGCTGTAGAAGCTAGAGAAGGAAGAATTTGTATAAATGCAAATTACCAAAGTTATCCTTTGTAACCTAAACTATTGGGATAATCTTGTGGCATCAGGATGCAATATGTGCATATAGACAGAATATCTCAAGGTTCGCTGATAAAGACTGCCACAAATAAGATAACAAGTAACCCACATTGCATACTCTATGGTTTAGCATTTTTTTTTTCAACAGTTTGAATGCTCTACCTTATGAACAGCATCAAAGGCTTTGTAAGATAAAATACAGATAATATATATCAGTCCCTGAGATGTACAATATGGTACTGAATAGTTTCCTTGGCAATGACACTTCAGTGCTTTCCTATCAGTGACTACGGGGAGTGAGATTTAGTTCTTTATGAAGAAACGGCCACCAAGCCATTTATACCTGGCATGCTAATTATATCTCTCAACACTGAATTTTCATCATATTTCTTTGTAAAATTTTGCATAGAATTGGCTTCAACAATCTGCCACTGAGACGACGACAATATATGGGACGCCATCAAAGAAGCCACCATACAAGTGGCGATACACCCGCGTCAGAAAAACCAGAAACGAAGAGCGGAAGAGAAAGTCAAATCCGCAAGGTACCTCACTGGCCCGACCTGCTGAAAGAAACAGAGCCGCGGAAAGACTCCCAAATTTGGACACTGAGCAAGCAGTGCCTGAAACCAAGGCTGGGCTGGTCACACCATGGAGACAGGAGAGGCCCGCTCCCCTGATACGATTCGAGATGAGCCAAAACCCGAAGCAACAGCTGCAAGAGTACAGGACCACCTCGACCAGTCCTGCCGGAAAGTGTCTACCGCGAAGGCCTTGCAGTTGGGGAATGGCGCCACATATGATGGGAGACGCCGAGACCAGGCCAACCCAAAGAGATCCACCTCAGCATGCCAGTATATCCAACAAAGCCAAAGGAAGGATGTGGCATCGACCATGCACTTTATGGAAAGGGGAATGATGATTGACAGGCCGTCTGTCAGGATGGTTAACGTCGTCGTCCCTTCACCTTCTAGTGTGAGGTCTGGTCAACATACTTTAACCACGTTATTGTGAACCATCACCTGCAGAGCCTTGGAAAAACAATCTTGAACCGAAGGGGGTCATCACGAACCGAGAAGAAAGATGGGAGAGCACTTTGTCCAAGGACCATGACATCTCAGGCATCGCATGAGCAGGCCGGAGGTGAAACAAGGCATGAGAAAGCTTACAGAATGGGGCAGAGGAAACATCCACCCCGAACACAAGCTGGAGCGGCTCTGCCTTTTGCCGCACGATACAAGGCGACAGTATTAGGCATCAAATGGCGGTCCTAAAAAAGACAAGACAACCTATGAAGAGGGAGAAAATGGCAGAAAGAATGCCAAGAAACTTTATACTGTCACCGAGATGAAGCTCTCAGGTGGGACACCATCAATGAAGCCACCTGATCACCATACAAATGGTAATAAACCCTCATCAAAAAGACTAGATGTAAAGAGCAGAGGAGAAGACAGAACCAGCCGTGTACCAGAGCGATCCGACCTGCTGGAAGAGGCGGAGCGGCGGAAAACACCCTGGGTTCGGATACCGAGCAAGCAGCACCTGAAACCAAGGCTGGGCTGACCACCAAGTGGCCACAAGGACAACTCTCCCATGGTAAGACTCCAACTGAGCCAGAACCCGAAGCAACAGCCGGACTGGTGAGAAGAAGTACAGGTAACCTCACCTCGACCAGTCCTGCCGAAAGCCTTGCAGTCGGGGAAGGACACCACATATATCAGGAGATGCAGAGACCATACTGACGCAAAGAGGTCCACTTCCAGGAGTCCATATGTCCGGCAGAGCCAACTGAAGGAGTCGGCGTCGACTGTCCATTTCGTGGATGGGGGAATGAATCGAGACAGGCCGTTCGCCAGGACGTTGGACACTCCCCGGATATGAACCGCACAGAGAGTCAAACCCCGAGAAGCCAACAAATGAACCACTTGAAGCAACCAGCCTCAAAGAGGCAAGGACTGAAGAGAGCCCCCACAGTTCAGGCAATGAACCACTGGAGAACAGTCCGGATAGAGCTGGATGGCCCGATACAACCGAATCCACCGAAGCAAACAGCCAAACAGCCGCGAACTCCTGCACCATGCTGTGAGCCCAGTGTAAGGATGCACCTCACCACCCCTGGCAGGCCTAACGAGCACTGGTCACAAAGCCCCAGCCAAGAGATGACGCATCCGTGAACACATCAAGTGAGGGCTCGGGTAGGCGCCAAGGCACTGAACCCTGAAAAACCCAAAGAGGAAGCCAGCGACTCAGCAACCGACACAAGGATTCCCCCAGAGGACAAATCCACCGATCGCGAGAGAGAGGTGGAAGGGGTGTCCCCAAAGGAACCAAAACAGATGCCGAAGCTAAACCTGATCCAGCGGGTAGACCAGCACGGCGAAGTTCAGACTCCCGCACATCTGCTCAAGTAACTGCAGAGTAACCCGGAACCCTTCCAGAAACAGCTGAAGGTAGGATTGCAGCCCCAGCAACACCTCAGGAGGGAGAGACATGGAAGAGTCCCAGACAGGTCAGGTCCAGCCAGGTCCAAACCTGGGACAGAACCAGATGGGACTTCCGCCAGTTCACAAGGAATCCGAACCTGGCAAGCTGGGAAAGAACCACACCCCTGGTGAACAAACAAGCAGACTGACTGGGCGCCCACACCAGCCAGTCATTGAGGTAGGTTCTCCTGAACCCCTAGCAGATGCAGATTAGTCACAATGACCCGGGTAAGACTCGTGAAAACGTGAGGTACCAGATTCAAGCCAAAAGGAAGGCAACGAAATCGGTAAGCTAGACCACCACGAAACCCAACCAGTCTTTGAAACCTGGATGACTAGGAACATGCCAGTACGCGTCCTTGAAGTCCAGGAACACCATCCAGGCATCTGGCTCTAAAAGAAGCCGGACCTGAGACAGAGTGGTCATCCGAAAGGAGGGGCAAGGAATACAGGGGTTCAGACAGGACAAGTCCAGAATGAGACGTAGATCTGCACAGTCCCGTTTTGACAATGGACATAGGCGGGAAACCCACCTGAGGGAGGAGGGTTGTTTCGACCATGTCCAAGCGCATCAACTCCGAGATGACCCGACGAAGCGCAAGAGAAGAAGTCTGCCCCGCCAGCTCCGAACCCCCTAAAGGAGGAACCACCTAACGCCACCACAGATTGGAGGACATGACCTAAAATGCCCATAAATTATGGGACCAAGTGTGAGTAAACAAAGTGATCATCCCCCCCCCCCATTGTCAACGAGGCAAACCACGAAAGGGGCCATCGCCCCTCATCGTGCCGACCAGATGACGCCAGCTCAAAAAGAAGCGCCGGCTCAGAAGCTGGCACCAATGGCCCACCCTGACCAGCAGAACTTTGAACCCAGGCACGACCCTTCTGAGAAGGCCAAGAATGGCCATTCTGGAGAACCAACAAGTCTGACATAGGACAACTACTAAGCGGATTCCAAAGAGAGAGCAAGCCTAGCCTGACGACATGTGAGACGAGAAGCAAAGAACAGAGACACCGCTTCCTTCAGGATAGGCCCAAACAGCTTCAACAGCGCGGCCGAAGCCCGCTGATAATTTTTCAGTTTAAGTTAAGAACAGTACTGGATACCTAATATTGGTACCGGTACTGGTCATCATATCTTCAGCCACGTTATTGCGACTCATCATCTATAATGGATACCTAACTTTGCCATCAGTAACCCTTAAGCATTATCCATGCAATGATTATTGGTTGGAGAAATTGTTTGTGAACTTTTCTTGAGAGGATATACTGTAGTGACAAACTGATCATTGGTGATGGTGTAGGACATACCAACAATGCTTCAACACTACCTCAGTAAGCATATAGTTTGCTAGCATAGCAATAATGTCCTAGCTAACCAACCATTCTCAACATGAATGTCCTAGTATATCCACCACTTTTAACATAACCCTTCAGAAATGCAATGGAGGGTTGGTACATATTTTTTTAATACAATTTCCTACTGCCATGCTTTAGGAAGTAGAAGAATTCCAAGACATTAATGTAAATTAGGTACATTTAGACATGTCAAGGTCAGATATATTCACTCATTCACCCACCCACATTCTTGTACACTTGCAGACATGAAAGCAAGTGTGTATGCTTTAAAGCCTTATCACTCACTCAAATAGCAATTTAAACAAAAAATTAAAAATAAACTTTTTAACATTCCCATTCTGTGCTTACCTTGTGAATTGAAAGTGCCAGGATTACATTCTAAGAATCGATGTGAGAAATGAACTAAGACACGTTCTCTCTCCTGAGTTTCGCCTGCTAGACAAAATTTGTCTAAAAACTTGCGAAGAGCCTTATCCAAGGTGTCACCTCGGAAATCGAAGTAGTTAAGGTATTCCTCAGCAACCGCTCTACTGAATTCATTGCTGAAAACATTGAAGAGAACAGATTTTGATGACTTGTAACAAGAATCAAATTAAGTACACCTTATCCTATATAATTTTACACAGAAAGGGTGTCTGATTTAGCCTAAGAAGTTCAAGCTTATGATGATCTACCCAATGATAATTTATATTACTGTATAGAGCAACACCTATATATTCCATTTTGTTATCAGTTTTATACTTGGTCCAAAGAACACGGGTACACAGTTTGCAGTTTTCCTCATTCAGCAAACTATCTGTAACTAGATGTAGAGGTTACCTATAACTATGTACTCTGTTGTCAATGTATGTAACTAGAGTTGGGGATATTGAAAATATGTACTTTGTCTCAGTGTTTACTATGAGAGGAACTTGATATTTTGCTTGCAACTAGGCAAATCTTTGCTGGTGACAAACAAGACAGTAGACTAACAGGAAGTAGACAAGTAGACTTAGGAAGTTATTAAATAAATAGAAAACTGAAGCCCAACAGGTCATCAAGGTAATAAAAAGTACGGTAGACTGTAAAGACGAGTTCAGGCAACCCTAGTCTTGCGTATTTAACAATTCACTGGAGCCAAAATGAATACCAGAATGAAGGATGGTTGCAAATGTTTTGCTATTGTTGAAGACAGGGATAGGTTACTCATATCTAACTACTGGCCAATTTGCTTGATTTGTTTGAATTGTTTAGCTCAATATTCGCAAACACCATTCGTACACATCTTAAAAAACAAAGACTTATAAAGGACTCAGCATGGCTTTAATATATGGTCAATATGGCTTTAATAAGGACTGCTCATGCTTTAACAAATTTACGCTCATTCATTTATAACATATTTCAAGCAGCTAACAGTGAAAAAGATTTGGGACATTACGTTAATATTCTCGCTGTTCTATCTGAGCAGGCCACCCGGTAAATGATTTAGTCAATAAGGATGTTGGATCCTACTGCATACAATCTGACATAGGAATCACAGCCCAGTTGATTTGCTAACCTTTGAAGGTGTACATCAAGTATCCTTATGAATGGCAAAAGAGGATGGGTAGTTATGTCCCATGTATTTAGAGGCCTCTGAAGCTATCCCACTGCTATCCTATTTGGGGTCATCAGACAGAGTTTTTGTTACCTACCAGAGACCAGTGCCAGAACCTGGCCCCCCTCAGAGAGGTACAGGAAGCAATGACCATGAACACTTTACATTTAAAGTATGTCATCTTGCCATCGATCAGGGAAGGCACCCAGAAAGGTAGGCGAAACGAAACAGACCACTGTCTGGTGGAAAATTGCAACCTACATCCTCAAAAGAGCAAAGAACTCCCCCGGAAAGAAAACAAATAAGCAACACTTCTTCCAACACTTCTTTGGTTTCCTGGGAACATCAAATGCAGGTCCAATCTACTAGCATGGCTAGTAGTAGTACACGTATTATTGTAATACACGAGTTATTGTTTTGTTATTTAAGGGAGATGTTATTTAGGGGGGATAAGGGGGGATATTTTCAATACCCCCCTTATCCTACTTGTTAGGGAGGGAAGTAGGCCAGGGTATCCTGGACTACCCACCCTCCAGTTCTTGACTGATGTGATGGGCAAAGAATGAGCTGGCAGCCTCCTAGAGGGGTCTGTCTGTTAGATTGGCGCTAACATTCAAGGGCTAGTTGGATGGGTGATTTGTACTGTGGTTGTGCACATCACAGTTAAGGTATTTACCCCATGGTAACAAACGTTGATTGTTTGCCTCAATACTTCAAGATAAGAGTACAGTTTCAAACTTTGTAAAAGCAGTTGCATGTTTTGTTGCATTTATTTTTTTACAACCCAAAACCCAAAACCAAGATATACTCACCTGAAGGATTAGGTGAAATAATGCAAGCTCTTGCTTAACCACTGAATTACGCCAACCGAGTATTCTCGGTCGGTGGGAAACTGCACCAACTGAGAAAACTCTCTTTGATTTTTTCATACCTATTCTAAATGTGTGCGCGGTTGGTTGTGTACGAAATGGACTCTTAAGACCTCCAGTGAGAGCCAGCCATCTTGGAAAAAATTCCCAGAATGCCCTAAGGCTGCTGGCTGAGTTAGCACTGAGTGAGCAACCATGGGTGGCACATGCGCCTCTGGCTCCCAAACACCTGTCCGACACAGTGTTGAAAGATCGCGCCCTGTCGGTGAAATTCAAGCCTTATTGTTTGAATAACATAAGGGTCATAATATTGGTGAAGCTAGGCACAATAAGGACCTAACACAAAGGTCAGATGCAAGTGATACAGCACCTATGAGGACGATACAGCGAGCGTATCCAGTTGTAGCTCTGAGTGCCACCCTTGCCCACCTCTGCTATCTCCAATTTATATAGATGATACATAGATGAATCATTTTCTGCGTTCAGTGATGATGCATCTGATACAAGTAGCATAGATGAACAGTGTTAGCGGTTTCCATGGTGGTGTTTTCCATAGATATTTTCAAGAATAGCTGAATCTCTTCTTGACTGAAGGACACTCTTTGAGGCTGACTGAATCTCTTCCAGACAAACTGAGGTACTGAAATTTGATAAAATACCATGCCCAAGATTATCATCAGAGTGCCGGCGGGATGATGGGGAATTAGCCTCGGCTTCCATCATCTTTTGTCCAGTTGTGATGGTCGAGTGGTTAACCCTTTAACTGTGTGGCCTATAAATATGACACCCCACCAGTGCGCAAGAAATAAATTATCGGGAAAAAATTTTTTTGTTCTGAAAGTGTCAAAAACCCCTCCCTGTATATGGGTACAGTAACGGAATTTTGAAATTGTATTTACTTTGTCTGCTATGGGGTCTATAAGGTGGCGCGTGACGTCATCATTCCCCGTTCGCCAGTGACGTATGCTCCCGGGGCTGGTGGGGCGCCAGGGGCAGGGCGCGCGTGTTGCCGCGAATATATTTGTGTTCATTTTTTGCGCACAGTTCCAAATACATTTTATTTGTTTTTATGTGCTAATCCTATGTATAATGAATACGTACACTATATTATGGCAGTAAAACATCCATACTATCCAAGGACACTGTTACGTGCATGACACTTGTGAACACATATGTTGCACATATTTACCATGTATTATGCTAATTTATGTGTATATACAATCTATTTACAGACTATACACTGTCACACACTATATACATTCACCATCAACACATTCAGAACACTGCGGTTGTGAGCTGTCACACCCAGCCAGCCCTCCCTCACTCCTCCAACATTGTATTCGCCAACATTGCTCCTCCCATCATACAGTTATTCACACCAATGTTTCATGTTCATTTATGTATATTTACAACATATGTACATATATATATTTACAACATATGTATATTTACAACATATGTACACACTATACACTGTCACACACTATATACATTTACCATCAACACTTTCAGAACATCGCGAGTGTGAGCAGCCACACCCAGACAGGCCCTCCCTCACTTCAACATCTTACTCGCCAACATTGCTCCTCCCACCATACTGTTATTGTTTTTATTACACTATTTACACATGTTATATATACTTATCTACATGTTTTATTTACCAGAACTATGCAAGTAAGCCGGTATTGTGTCCAAACAGTACAGTGGCCACCATACACTGCATGAGAAATCACACAGCAGATGACGCTACAATTACGATGTCACCTCCCTCACCAAAATAGCTCCACTCAACATACTCCTGTTGCTGTTATTACACTATATACACACACACACACACACAAAAAAAAGGTGAAAAAGATTCAAAAGGTGACACCCCTAGGGTCAACACTTGCAGCAGAGGAGCTCCAGCATATTTCAACAATCCTAAGTATTGTAGTACAGGTTGATGGTAGTGAGTGGTGTCTCAGAGAACATAAAGGTATAGTGCTCTTGAAAAATAGGTGAGATAACAGGAAAGTGCTAAGGGAAGTGAAAAATCGGATGAGAAAAAGTTGCCCTAGTGTTTACAGTGCAGAGAAGAACATTCAAGATGGCCACTGGCAAGGGGAAAAACAAAACAGAGCTTGATTTTGAGGGATTCAATGAAGAAAGCATTGATATTAGTAGTCTACATAACAAGTTGGTAAATTTAGATACTATAGTGAACTCTCATGTAGAAATAATTAGTAAATTGAAAGAAAGTAATGACCATTTGAATAGCAAAGTATTATGTCTTGAGGGTTTAGTGAAAGACTTGCGCAAGGATAAGAATCAATTGGAAACAAATTGCAAAGCCATGGAAGAAGAAAATAAACTCTTAAAAATAGCTTTGGAAGAAGTTAAAGTAAATTTAAACATAAATGACTACAATAGGTTAGGCAAGGAAATTCAACAGGAGAAACAGCTTTTGTCAGCACAGATGGAGGAAGTTACACAGGGAATAGAACAGTGCAAGAAAGATATGCAACTCACTTATGCACAAGTGGCCAAGGAGAAGGAAAAAATAGAAGAAGCAGTAAAGGAAGTCAAACACTGCAGCAACCAAGATAAAACAAACATTAGGCTAGAAGTGAGGAAAGAATTGGCATCTAACCCGAAGTTGGTGCAAAACACAGTTGATCGGAGTAAGTCCCTGATCATTTTTGGCTGCAAAGAAAAGGCGATAACATCTAGGTCAGAAAGAGCTGTAGAAGAAGCTAAAGTAGTAGATAAAATTGTTGGCCTCGTGGAAGGTCTTACAAACAGAGAGAATGTGTGCGACTACAGGAGAATAGGCAGGTTCATAAAAGGGAAAGATCGACCTTTGAGGATCACCCTAAACGGTGCCAAACAGATGGAAGAAGTACTAAGGAATGCTAGAAAATTGCAAAGGGATGAGGATGGGAAAGGGTGGTCATTAAGACGAGATCTTTCAAAAGAAGATAGAGAGAAGCTGAAACTGAACCTCGCCGAGGCAAAACATTTAAATGAGAGCAGGAATGAAGAAGAAATAAATTCTTTTTTCTACAAAGTGATAGGGGTAGGCAAACCAGTAAAGTGGTACATAAAGGCAAACCAA